CTGTTGTTCAGAGAGTGAGCTGATAAAGCATTTAAGAATAGCAGTTTGAGCTACAAATTGTTCCAATTTAAGCCATGAGGAATGCTAATCAGATTGCTAATTTTTTGAACCATTACCGCAATTCTTCGAGCACATAGAACTTAGCTGCACACATTACAGCATTTGAAGAACTTGTTATGCCCTGCAATGCTTGAAACTTTGAGGCAGAAACCAAGAACCGCAAACAGCAGTCCAATTGCTCATTTGTGATGACTCCTAAATTTGGCATAACCACGTGCTTCAAACCCTCATTTCAGAGACGCCGACATCAGCAAATGAGGTGAGTTAGCTTAAGATGTGGGGCGCAAACGTCGCCTCTGCCGTGTAAATAAATCAATTGGATTGTTATTTTTTTTGTCATCCACTTTATCGAGCCCTTTTTGGCCTTCGAATGACATAGCAGACATATCATGCCTGCTAACTTAAAAGTGTAAAGATCACTTGAGGAAGACACCTGCTTTAAGGTGGTGGAAGAGTTGCTAAAGGTAAAAAATGAATATTTGTGGCGTTTTATTGCATAAAATGATTAACTGACTGGTAAGCTGTAATGGAAAATCGTTTTGTCGCATGCATAACTAAAAGAGTTGAGACAAGTCTCGTGTTGTGCGCTAAGTACCACTTTTATTTTTTATTGTATCAAATAGGTCGAATCGCGCTTCGAAGTGAAGTGGATTTGATATGGTTCTGTAAACTAATGCTTTCAAGTACTTGCCTTGGGCATTAAGCTTGATTAATTAAACGAATTTTTACACCATGCCTTTTGACGAGCTCATGTCCTCTGTTATGGTCGCCCTCTTAAACTGCGTCATTTAATAAAGTGGTCAATTCAGTGTGATTTTTTAAGTATGTTTTCTGGTTGGGATGTAAACAATTCGTGTGATGGGTGCGCGATATTTCATGTGAAAGCAGAAGTGGTGTTGCAGGCCCAGCCATAGTTTACGCGCAGTAACATTACTACCGATGGTATTGTGGAGGCGTATGCGTTTGATTTTAAGCGTGGCATTCACATGCGCATAAAAACTTGCGTTTTACTTTATACGCATTCTTTTGGTGCAAATGCATAGGAGTGTAGCTGAATGTTTTCCATTTTAATTCCAATTTTGTGCTGCCGTTCGTGAAAATCCTTGTACACGGAACTTGTGCCCTGAAAACGAAGCGTATGCACATTCTTGGCAAGATTGTGAAAGAAACAAGTGGTGTTTTGGATTAATAATCTCAACAACGATTAGTCTCGGTACTAAACATATCGCATTTTCGATTTTATAAATTCAATTTGCAGTTAAATTTGCGACACTACATTATTTACGGTATGCTACTAGGCGGCGCATCAGTCCAAATTATCACAATCGTTTTTTACCGTTCTACCCTTCTTATTTTGCACGCTTCTTAAGCCCACAACTAAATTTTCGCATTTCTTGAAGTCCACGTACTGGGCTATGCTTTGCCTTAGTCGGACGCGTGCGAAAGCCTCCCTTCCAATCAATTTACCAACGGCGCTTGCATTTCATTGGTTCGCGCAGTCTGTCATGAGCACGAAGCATAAAACGATTGGCTCGCGCGATTCGTCTGCACGCGTCAGTGAGAATGGCTACTAGCAGAGAAATCCCGTGTCATGCTAATTCAACTTTGCGCAAAATTGGGTATTGATCGTGTCGCCTCGCCAAAGCTCAAATTAGACCTCCTTACCTTTTTGCTTCTTTGGAGCGAAACTAATGGATAATAGTGATACATCCTCTCGAGAGGGGTCTGAGAACATATCACCTTTGGTCGAAGACCTATCGGAAGATTTACCTAATGGAGATTGGCCTGCCAACTCTGACCATCTTATTTCACAATTGGATGAAAAAGTGAACGATAGTTACGGATGCCAGAATAATGAATTAACTCTGTGCAAAGCAGAAAATAGTATTATGGATGTTGGAACAGTGGATAAGGCTTGGGAATCAGCCGTTACTTCTAGTGCCTGTAAAAGTTGCCTTGAAAATTTTGCTTTAAATAATCCAAAGGAATGTGATCTTACTAATTCTATTAGCGAATCACAGGAAGCCTCTAAACAGGACGTCCGACCGCTTATCACGGATACCCAGCCATCCAAAGATATATTACATCAGCAAACGGAGGATGGGCCTCAATTAACTTCTGTTTTGGAAAGAGTCTCTGGCACAGAGGAAGCAATAGAAGGGTCGCACCGGCTAGAAGAAGCCAAACCCACTGTTGCATCAAGCGAATCATGTAAGTCGCAAGAAAGTGATTCTAATGTCACCGGACAGGAGGATGATGCCTTTTTAGTAAAGGATGGTACATACGGAAAAGATGTACCACTCATAACAGTAGAGGAGACAGATCCTCAAAACAAACAGGAATTGGAGTGTAATCACACACAGTCATATGAATTTGGAACCAATGAGAAGATTAAGTGTCAACAAGTGAGAGTCGAAAGAGAACTCAATCTGGAAGAGTTTGTCAATCCAAAAGAAGCAACGCTACACGAAGATGGAAAACTAACAGAAGAGATGTCAAATGCTATTATGGAAGAATTATCCCTTGCTGAGGTAAGCACTCACAAAGTTTGTGCACAAACTCATGAAACTGCGAACTCTGTGCCTCCTGTCTCAATTGAGTTCTGTAAAAGCGAGGCCTTCGAATCGGCTCAAGCTAAAACAATACATCACGTAAATGAACTGCGAGCAGCTGTAGCGCATGATGTACCTGTAGAGTTCTCAAATTTTCAACCCAGTAATAATGAATTCACCACCAACAAACGCGATCAAGTATTGGTTAAAGAATCGGAGCTGAATATGGTCCAGCCCATCGAAATGACTGAACTAATTCCAAGGTTGGAATCTAATAAAGGGGAATTCGTTAAAGTGTCTGCAGCTCCCATTGTCACGAGCTATAAACCGGAAACTAAACACGTTGGTGCAGAGAATCTAATAAGTTCCGAAAATTTGCCACCACATTTGAGAACAAAAAATTTGAATGGTTTCAGTGATGACAAGGAGAACAAAATTCCGCCATGTGCTGAAAAAAACAGTCATGATGCGTCGCGAACAAACAAAAAGGACTGTGCAAATGCTAAAAAAGAATTAAATCCTCCCGAGGAAGAACTTGATTTTGATACTAAATATGCTATCCTCGTCGGAAAGATCCTTCCTGGACACGAAATTTATTACATGCCTTCAACCAACTCGAATAGGAAGCAGGTTACTTTTCGTCGAGGAGGAACGTTGGATCAGCAACAGCTAGTATCGGGCAGCGCGCCGCTCTGGGATGCCGCATTTAATATAATGAGCTTCAAATCGGCGACACTGGAGGCGCCAAGTCGTACTCGACATCGACTGCAACCAAAACCAGCAGTGAACGACGATCATCTCTTCCCAGACTCGGTAACACCTTCAAAAGTGGAGAAGGCCCTCATCGAGGACGACACTGGCACCTCCAATGAGGAGGGCAACCGGTATGACGTGCCTTTCATGGATGATGACGCATTCTTGCCCAAGAGGTATCGAAGCGTCGTAATGGTCGAGGACGATTCTAGCAGTGAATCAGACTACTCGGATGAGCGAAGAATTCTCCTGGGAACGGAGCACTTAGCTGAAATGGATGAAACATCATCACACATTGGTAAGTGTATATAACTTTTGGAAGGTTTTCATTGAATGACTTAGTTTTTTTGGAAATTATTTTTAACGACAACTGCACAATTTCGTAAACATATTTGTCAAAAATAGTTACCTTTGTAACGTAGTTATGTAGGGCAGTCAAGATTGCTGTAGTTTATGTTAAAAGGCGTAAATTTTAAAGACGAAAGTTTAAAGGGAATGTGAATGCTTTTATGTGCAAAAATGAATATCATAGAAGCTATGACTAAATGGTGCTTTATACTTTCTATTGATGATCTGGCATAATGGTCGAAAAAAACAGCTTTCTGAACGAAGCCTTTGCTCTCGAAATTCGTTCATATACTTCAACTGAGGCACGGTCTTCCGGGTTGTAAAGGAACAATAAGTTGATCAGCAACTCAACGATAAGGTGAAGGCGGGGGGCGTTATAGATCATAACTTTTACTCGGAGCTACATTTAACTTCAAAATAGCATTTTTTTTACGGCGTTATAAGGTTTTCATTTGGTAGCACATAGTCAAAACAGAATTGAAACACAGTACACGATCTTTGGCTGTCACATTGTGACCCAAACAGAGCAATTCATTAACTGGCAAATGGTGAAGACAGAATTTTCAGGCTGTACCATCATTCCTAACAATTCTCGCGAAGACACTGTAACGGAACCAAGGAGGTTTTCTTTTGACTAAAATAACTACCGTTGTCTTCATGTATGCAGGCACGTTTTCTTAAAATTCTGGAAGAACTGTTGTGCTGAACGTTCAAAAATGACCATTTTTTTGTGGAGCAACGGAAACTTTCCGACGACAGTGAACTTTCTCACCTAAACATCATCCTATCTCAATTTTGCTTTTTTTTTCACTAACACAGCGATATTGCAATTACCTTTCATATCGCATGGTAAAAACTAAA